ATATATATAAACGTTTAGAACAGAACTTTGCTGTTATTAATGATGTCATAGTCTGCCATCAAAGTGTGTACAAGGTAGAACAGGATTTCAGCAGTCCTATTTAAGAAGGTTGGACCAGGATATACAGAGGGCTGGGATCTTGAAAGATCAGAAGGAATTTTTCAGGTATTATAGAGGAATATAAGAAGGTGCATTGGAGGCAAAGAGAAAAAAATGGTATGAAAACATCATATAAGTGAATCAAGCTGTGAACATCAGACAACAGAGTAGATTACAATAATCGGAACATACTGCATAATGGAGAGAGGAGGTTGGAGCATGGAATAGGTAATGGACAATCTTTTTAGCCAGTTCAAGGGATTTCTTCTCAAAGCGTCACTATAGATTGGGTTCACCACATTGGAAATGCCACCTCTTCAGTCTCCTCTGAGAGCTGTGAGAGTTGGTCCAGCTGCTAAAGCACTTGCTGTGTGCCCAGAGCAGGGCTAAACCCAAGAGTTACAGAGGTGGCAGCCAGCCTGTAGTCTCTGCCTGAGCAACTTAAAACTCTCAGTTAACAGAGCTCTGAACTAGTGTTTAACAAAGCTTGCCACAGAGCCAGTCAGAGGATAGGTAGGCAGAGTAAAGAATGGAGGAGGAAATCTTGAGGAGCCAGAGCTAAAGGAAGGGATGGACACTCAGCGCTTTCTGAAGCATTGACCGTAAGCAGTGCTTCTAGGAAGGTAAGTCCATGACTGATGGCATTGTTCCAGTGTTTCCCATAGGGTATCTATACCCTAATATTGCAGAAAGGTCTCTTTTTTGGTACCGGGGATCAAACTCAGGACCTTGCGCTTGCGAGGGAGGTGGCAGCACCACTGAACTAAATCCCCGGCCCTAAGAGGTTTCTTGATCTCTTCTTACACTGTTATTTTTGTTAACTGAATTCTAGATTCATATGTAAAAATTGGTTTTGAGATTGTTTTAAGGGCCGGGGATTTACCTCAGTGGTTCTGGCGCCTGCCTCACAAGCACAAGGACCTGAGTTCCATCCCCAGTACCAAAAAAAAAAAAAAAAAAAAACGAGATTGTTTTAAAACTTTTCAAAATTATACCTGCATTCATTTGTGATTTAAGTGTGGTGGTGTGTGGGTGTGGTGGCGAACACCTGTAATCCCAGCACTCAGAAGGCTGAGGCAGGAGGATTGCTGTAAGTTCGAGGTCAGCCTGAACTACATAGTAAGACTCTGTCTCCAAAAAAAAAGAATAGATACATATGGGCTAGGGATGTAGCTCAATAGTAGAGCACTATGTGCCAGGCCTGGGTTTAATCCCCAGCACTATTAAAAAAAAGACATTTTGGAAGCCAAAATAAAGCTTTAATTTAAATATTTCCAATTTTAAATTTTTAAAATATTTTTATTG